AGAAAGGAAGAAAGAAAGAAAGAAAGAAAGAAAGAAAGAAAGAAAGAAAGAAAGAAAGAAAGAAAGAAAGAGAAAAGAGCTTGTTAAGTTTTGATGTAGTATAAAAGAGTTATTGGAAAAGATTACCAAAATAAATACAGACACACCCGTAATAAGTCCATGTATATCTTTACAAATCTGTATTTCTCTGAAATATTGTAGCCAAGGCAACATGTGAAAGCCCAGCTGTATTCTGTTAAATTCTGGACATTAAGGAGATTAATGTAAAATAATGCCAATTTTCTCACTCACTTTTGTTTAGGAAAATAGTTGTTTTTCATAAAATGTATTTATATGAGTTTGCACTGGGTTTATTACTGTTATTTTTAGATAAAATACAGACTTTTTAATGTTCTGTTTTAATATCTAATTTGGTAAATACTGATAGCTATAAAGCATGAACACAGAAACTTCTGAGGATGCTGCATCATTTCTGAACGAGTCCAAAGACCAGGAATGAAAGCCAGTCATTTAACAGAGCCACCCAAGTGTCTTTGTGTGTCCCCAGACAGCACATGTAACTTGTGTGAACTTGAAAACCGCCCAAGGGGGGAGCCTCTTGCTGCCTTTCGTGACGGTGCTGAGTTCCCTGAGAGTTGAGTGTCAATATTTTCAGCCAGTAATAGCATCTCTTGGTCAGCTGCTATTCATTCATCTGTAGTTATTTTTTGTTACGCATACCTAGAATAACAAAAGACTTTAAATATACCCAGAAATCCAGTCAGGCCCTCAAAGCCTCATGAAGCATCGTGTGTGGGATCAGGTTGGTAGGTAATCCCTGGCATCTGAGCATGGTTTTTCACGGAGTCCTCTTGGTTCCATGTTAACAGCTTTATTGAGAAGGGTCCCGTTACTCTTACTGATGCTGTCAACCTTCTGTCTCAGTACTCACAATATCACATCCTGTCAATGCGTGGAACTTTAAGCTTTCCAAATGATTAAGAACTCAACATTTTTACATATTTATTTATTTTCACCTAGTGGACTCTAAGAATTGGTAAGCCAGTAAGATTTCCCACTTGGTGTTTAATTTGTGGCCCATCTGTAGCAACTTCGTGAGGAATAGCAGCGTGGTCTCAAAAATACATTTAACTTCTGGCCCCACCCCGAGCCTCTAGGTTCTTTTCTTGTTCAAAACAGCTTGTTTTTTGGACCTTCCTTCATTTTCTTCCTAACAAGCTATCTTCTTTTTTTGCAGGCACGGTATTTGGAAATGGGAAAACCTCAGATTACCTGCTTCTGGGAAACTTTGTTTACACAGTGAGTTCAGCCGTTTTGCACATTTTTGTCTAAAGCCGCTGCTTCTTATCTCTGCCCCTCTCCTTTCAGATTTAAATGTGTGCAGGGTGAGTTTAAGGGTCATTTAGGGTTTCCTTGAAAAATGAAATAAGGCATTTGGAGTATTGACAGCTTTCTATATAAGGCTTTGTTGGGTTGGTTTTATGTATTTGGGTTTTGTTGTTGTTTGTTTTGTTTTGAGACAGGACCTCACTGTGTAGCCCAGGCTGGCCTTCAACTCAAAGTCCTCCAGCCTCAGCCTCCCAAGTGCCAAGAATGATGATCAGACCCTGTATACCACCACACTGGCTCTTTTTAAGTGTGATTTGGATTCACTGACTTTAAAAGGTTTCTGTTACTTTGATTTTCAGTAGTTCCTCTTTACTCTTACTATTTCCCCATTTTTTTCTCATTTTGAACTTTCTCCTCAAATTTGTACTACTGCCGTCTATATTATGTTGTGCTATATTTGCCTTCCTGAATGTTACCAAACATCCTCAAGGTATTCTTGGGTGTGAAACCAGTGGTTTCTCAATAGGCTTGTGCTAGAACTAACACGAGAGTAAACTGGAGCTGGAGAAATCACTCAAAGGTTTGGAGCACTTGGCTGCTTCTGAGGACCTGAGTTCAGTGCCCAGCATGGACGTGATGGCTCACAGCCATCTCTGTAACTCCAGTTCCAGAGGGTGTTTGTGTTCTCTTCTGGCCTTGGCAGATACCAGGCACACAAGTGACACACATATATACATGCAAGCACATATTCAAACACATATAATATTTTTTTTTAATAAGAGTGATCTGGAAAAAAAAAAGAGTGGTCTGCAGGCTTATGTAACATTTTCCACACAGCTTCCAAAGATCCACCAAGTTCTTCCCATTGCCTGTAAGATGCCAGAAAGCACTCAGACCATTTTTCTGCTAAAACTCAAGAAGACAATGGAATGCTAATGCCCATGGTCACTCAGTTGAATCCAGACACAGTCATTTCAACATGAATTCTGCATTCTGTGACAGCACTCTATTCCTTATATGCATCACTCATTCACTCACTCACTCACTCACTCACTCACTCATTCTTAAGCCTCCATATAGAGAAAGTATGGCCAACCAGTCATTGGTGTGGCTGACTCTGTGATAACGGTGCTCAAATGTCATTTTGAGCCTGAGAGTTTAGCTCAGAGAAGAATGCATTTCAGTTCCCAGCACTGAAAACAAAAATATACAATTCTCAAGTGTTGGAGTAATTGAATAAGAAATGAAGTTCATTCATGTGCTGACTTGTTTGAACTCTCAACTTCACATAATGTAGAAGACAGACTTAATGAGGAATTTTCTAGATCCACTTGACCTATGAACATATCATCTATGGGGATTGTTAATTGAATTGGGAAGACCCTCTATTGAACATGAATAGCACCAGGTCATGGTCTGGGCTTTGCCCTGTATAGAAATAGAGAATTCCAACTGAGTATTAAACAAGCACACACAGAGACATACATTTATTCCCTTTCTCTGCTTGACTGTGGATATGATGCACCAAGGTCCTGCCTTGATTTCCCCGTAATAATGGCTGTAACCTGGAATTGTAAGTCGGGTCAAATCAAATGCCTCTGTGGTGTTTTACCACAGCAACAGAAGTTATACTCAGTTAGCCAGAGGGGTTCAGGTTTGGGAAAATTTTGGGATTTCTTTCCACTGGTGCCCTCCCATTGAAGGCGTAAAAGAAAAGCACAACCATATTTGAGAGGATGTTTCTCTTAAAGCACGAATGCCAAAACAGAACTGTGTATATGCTTAACCAGGTAGCTGGAAATAAGCCATGGTTCATATTTTGGCTGTCTCTTGGGGACATGCAATAAAGTCTCAGGTCTCAAGAAAGTGCTTTTCTTTCATTTTGTCATGTATTGGAAATTTTACATAGCTTAAGCTAACTAATATTCATGCGAGTTTGATGTCTGTAGATATTCATCATAATTTACCAACAGATATCCTGATGAGAAAACCCAACTGTACCCCCTGTACCTTAACTTTTCAACCCTGCTCAAAAATGTCTAAACAGGTACTGTCCCCAAAACCTGAAAGTAGGATTGGACACTATGGGCATTAGCAGTCACCAGTCCTAGGCAAGAAATCCATTTCCAGTGCTATGAGATAATCCTAGTGCCCCGAGTCTCCTTGACTCACAACGTTTGGGTTTTTCACATGTAGTTTCAAATAGATCATAGTAATATGAGTGTTGGTCTGAGTGTTTCACATTCAGGTTTTCATCGAAAATAACCTTGTGAGGAAGATGTGCTAGCTGGTTCTTCATCACTGCAGACAAATGTCTGCACAAAACAACTTAAGAGAAAAAGTTCATTTGCTCACAGTGTCAAAGGTCCATCATGGTGAGAAGATAGATGATTAATCTTGGTTGTCAACTTAACACACTTAGAAAGAGGAAATCTCAAGTGAGGAATTAATTGCCTCCATCAAATTGGCCCGTGGACATGCCGTAGGGCATTATTTTGATTGCTAATTGATATGCTATGGTGCCATCTCTGGACACATGGGCTTGGGCTGCATAAGACATGTAGTTGAATGTGAACCTAAGAGAAGTGCCTCTGGTCTCTGTTTCAGTTCCTACCTACAGGTTCTTTTTGGTTGGTATGTTGATTGGTTGATTGGTTTGGTTTGGTTTGGTTTGGTTTGGTTTGGTTTTTTGAGCCAGGGTTTCTCTGTGTAACAGCCCTGACTGTCCTGGAACTCGCTCTGGAGACTAGGCTGGCTTCCAACTCACAGAGATCTGGCTGCCTCTGCCTCCTGAGTGCTGGAATTAAAGGAGTGTACCACCACTGCCTGGCTGCCCATGGGTTCTTGACAAGCTCAGGCCCTAACTTCACTCTATGATAGACTATAACCTGTAATGAAATAAACCCTTTCCTCCCCAGGTTGCTTTTTGTCATGGTGTTTATCACAGCAACAGAAAACAAACTAGAACAGAAATTGATACCAGAAGTGGGGCCTTGCTATTCCAAACCTTACCATGTTGTTTGTGGGGAGTATTGTAGAGCTTCAGGCTGGAAATGTCAGGGAGTATGCAGAGCTTGATGGGCTGTTCTGTGAGAGCTTGGAAGATAAAAAAGACAGACAATGAAACCTGACTTACGAAGTTTCAAAGAGAAGTTTGAGCCCCTAAAAGACTCTCAGGGCCATTACTATAATACTTTGAATTTAAAATCTGAAGTTTCTGGTCAGCTGGAGCTGAAGAATTAGCTGTGATTAACAAGAGGACCAGCGCTACAGAAGCAAAACCTTTGCTTTGCTGGCACAATCAAACAATTAATGCTGCTCAGCAGAAGCTGGAAAATTGCAATAGTGATTAATAAGAGACCAGCATCCTTGGGGTGAAATATTTGGGGAAGTATTTCTTCAGGGCCCATGCACAGCTGGGGACCAGTGCTGCACATCAACTGGCTGTAGAACTAGATAAGGCCCCCCCACGTGGCTCTGATTTTGAAGGCACGAAGGGTCACGGAGAGCAGCGGAGGCTGGCAGTATGTGAGAGGACTGGTCTTCCTGAAGAGGGACCAGCAGAGGTCATTGTTCAAAATGCAGTCCCAGTTACAGTAGAGACCCCAGGATTAAGGAGTCATGGAGAGAAACTGAGGCTTAGCACAGGGAAAGGCCATTGATGAAAATACAGCTTAAGTCACAGTCAAAAACCCAGGATATTGGAGATGCCAGGACTCTGAGATGACTGCCACAAAAAAAAACAGAGCAGGGGTTATGGTGGGGTGGAGACGCTCACACTGTGACAGCCACAAAGCAGTAGGAGAGAGAGAATGCATACACTCATGGGCTTCCTCCCTTCCCTCCCCTTTTTTCCATCTGGGGCCTCACCCCAATTGTGAGGCACTTGCCGCTTTCAGAGGGAGCTTTCCTTTAGAGGGTGCTTTCTGGAAATGCCCTCACAGACAATTCCAGTGTGGATTACTCATCTCCTGGGTGCTTCTCAGTCCACTCATGTTAACAGTCAAGATTAGTCTTCACGGGAGGCAAGTTTCAGCATGCTGGAGCTGAATATACTGATGAATGAATGTACCCCATTCATTAACTAAAGCAGCTCGTAATCTGACACCAAGGCAGGTATATCTAACTACTGCAGTGTTCCTAAGGGAGATACAGAAAAGTCAAGGTATCTTTTCTTTCCTCATTTCAGAATTACCCATTGTCTTAATCAGGGTTTCTGTTGCTGTGATAAAACACCATGGCCTAAAGCAACTTGGGGAAGGAAGAGTTTATTTGGCTTACGAGTATATATCACTGTTCATCATAAAAAGGAAATCAGGACAGGAACTCAAACAGAGCAGGAACCTGGAGGCAGGAGCTGATGCAGAGGCTATGGAGGAGTGCTGCTTACTGGCTTGCTCTTCATGGCTTGCTCAGCCTGCTTTCTCATAGAATCCATGACCACCAGCCCAGGGGTGGGTCCATCCACAATGGGCTGGGCCTTTCCCCATCAATCACTTGTTAAGAAAATGCCCTACAGGCTTGCATACAACCTGATCTTATGGAAACATCTTGTCAATTGAGGTCCCTCTTCTTAGATGACTTCAGCCTGTATCAAATTGAAATGACACTAGACAGGATACCCATATAATCACCACAAATGGTGTGTATTTCAAGAAGTGTCTGGCTCTCATAGCCTACATTTGCAGAACTATACTTACGTAAATTTCCCAAGTAAAGACTTAGGTTCCCAAACATCTAGTTTACTTCTATAATTTATCTTTAAAATCCAGAAAGTGAGCTTTTAGTGAAAAAGATTCAGTTAAAGGAAGTTTGAGACCCAAATTAACATAAGCACATGCTATTCATGAGTTGTACAATACAGACAGTAGAGCCTTCAGTAGCCTCCTTGACAGACTCTGAGGCTGTGAATGTGAGCAGAGACAGGATAGGGCAGCAGGACATGCAAATGTCAGCTATTGCCATGTCCTAATGAGGGCCACTCACCTGAGTTTGATGAGCACATAACTTATTTAATTCATACCTGTTTGTTCTTTAGAAGGTCTCTCTGACACTTGATAGATTATGATACCTATGACACAATATAGAAGACAAAGTAACGTTTTCCCTTTCTGTTTTCAGTTTGTAGTGATAACTGTGTGTTTGAAAGCTGGGCTGGAAACCTCATATTGGACATGGGTAAGAATATCTCTAGTCGCATGTCTCTTTATTGCAAAGCCTGCAGTTATTGGTTATGGAGCATTTGGGAATGGAAGGAGGAGAACTAGGGATTGTGGGTTGAAAACACTGAGTTAAATGAGTTGCACGTTGTTACCATCTCACACAGATGGAGACTTTCAGGCTTACTATGTCATAGAACTGGTGTTCCCTAGGAACCCTATTGGAAAATAATTCTGAAGAACAATAAAAATTAGTGAGATGTAGCAAGCTTTCCTGTCAGGCTATCTTTGGATCACTAGTCTCCAAATAAGGACACAGAGATGTATTATTAATTATAAAAGCTTGGCCTTTAGCTTAGGCTTGTTTCCAACTAGCATTTATGACTTAATTAACCTGTATTTTTTTTCATCTACATTCTGCCACATGGCTTGGTTACCTCTCCTCAGTACAGTGCATCTTACTTGGTCCAAGTCTGTGAGCAAATCCCACCTAGATTTCTCTTCTTCCTGTCTTCTCCTCAGAAATCCCACCTATCTTCTCCTGCCTAGCTATTGGCCGTTCAGCTCTTTATTAAACCAATCAGAAGGCACCTTGGCAAAAATACATCTTCAGGGTGTACGAAAAGATTATTCTACAACAGTCCGAGATCTGTCTCCAGACACTTAAATGAATGCACAGTCTGTATCAAACTCATTCCACTTTCAACACATTAGTTTTGCAGCCTGTCCACTTCCAGGTAGAGAGACTCACTAAATAAAACAAAATTATAGTTTGATGCCCAAGGAGGGAACAAGAAATTTGGATGTGACACCCGTTGACCTCCATGTAATTCTCTCAGGTGTGTCTAATGTCTTTGGGAAGGAACATGAAGAGCAAAGATAAAGGAGAGTGGAAGATGACAGTGGATAAAAAGGATAAATATCAGAGCAGAGAGCAATGACAGAGACTACAGAATGAATGCACACAACTATAGCACAATTCCGGGAGGTGGTGTTTTTCTGAATTTAATGCAGAGTAGAAGGGAATCCGTGACTGTTTCAGTAATGTTTGTGTGCTTGACTGGATGGGAGTGTCTTGACACAGATTTCCTTTCTCACAGTTCAGCCACATAGCCATCTGGGGCAGCATCGCTCTCTGGGTGGTGTTCTTTGGAATCTACTCATCTCTATGGCCTGCCGTTCCCATGGCCCCTGATATGTCTGGAGAGGTAATGTATGCTAATGGCTCAGACCCCAGCAGAACCTTAGAAATGGGTATCCATTAATGAACCTTCATCCTACTCAGCATGACTTCCCATTTTTCGGGTCTCTACTCAACTGCATTTGACCACCCTCAGTTGCCACAGGTGGGAGAGATAAATCTCCAAGCAGTATTTTAAACTTCAACGTTTAACTTAAATCTGACTTATCCTTTCATAAACACAACTGGACCGATAAAATATGGTTGTAGCGAACTTGAATCTTGTCGCAAGTGCCCATATAGAAGATGCCATTTTAAAAATTAAACCATAAATCCACAAGTGCATTTAGGATAAGAGACTTAGAGCAATGGTGTAGCTCCTTGTTTGGGACAACCTGTCATTCCTTCTGTTGTCTATTATTCCAAAAAGGAGTCAGCCATCACTAGATTAAATGCACTTTTAAAGTTGTCTTAATAGCATCAGTCTGACTCTTGTTTTGAAGGAATTGAGGCACGTGACATCTCAACCTTATCATGCTCCATTTTCAATTCTGTCTTTCAGTCTCTAGTTACACTAGGAGGAATTGAGTTATTAGGTGTTCATAGGGGAGTGTCAAAAGATCTGCTTTCCTTTAGAAGAGGGTCCAGCAGTAGGAGGGTTTATGATTTCAATTGCAGGAAATTTGACATAAAATGTATAAAAGAAAATGTGGAAAACATTTCGGGATTTCCTGTGACCTCACAGTAACTTGCAAATCAAGGTAATATGAGCCCTGTTGTGGGCTGTTGTTACACCACATGCACAGGAACCCTCTCCAGTGGTTTGCATGTATTCCCTGCCCGTAAGTCTGCCTGAGTACCCTTCACTTTTGACAGTCTGCTTTATAGATCATTTTCATGAAATTTGATCTGACAGCACGCTGCTTTTTATAAATTAACAGAATGCAGACACTTTAAAAAAAAACTGTGGTTAAATTTATTAGAGAGGGCATATACTATTATGGGAAAGCCAGATACATCGACAAGCCCGCTTGTCCCTGTCACATGTGAAGGCATCTTTTGGAACATACACACTGTGAAGCCTAGAAAGTTTACAGAATGTTTTAAAGAGAGTAGAGAGAAAGCTGCAAATGGGCCTCCTCTTTGCCTTCTTGTCTAAGTCTTTCTTCCTGAGGAGAAACATGTTCCATGCATGGTGCTATGTGTGTCGCCAATCTCTGATGATGCTGTGTGGGAAACCCAGTTCTTCTGCGTCCCTGTGTTGTGATGTCTGCCTGAACCTGCTTTTCCCCAAGGACAATTCTAACTGAACCTCTTTCCCTGCCCATTAAGTCCACTTCATTTACCTTATTTCTTCGTGTTTATTTTATCTTCAAAATGAGGACCAGAGATTTTGAGACCCTGATCCTTTAAGCAACTGTGGCTAGTGGGTCTGATGACAAGAACTGAGTTTTTGACCACCTACTTCTAGGACAAGTGTAAAGTATGGTTGGCTTTTAGCCAACCACACATAATTCTGCCCCTGCCTGTAGAATTCCTGGTATTACCCAAACACAGAACTTAATATTGTCTCTTGAGACGCATGGCAGTCCTCTGTTTAATTCAAAGTGAAATGAATGTCAGTACTCCATCACGTTTTTGTTCCCTTCGTGGACGGTGGGGACTGCTAATGGGAGTTCTGTTTCTTCCTGCTTCATGACTACCGCAACTTTTAGTAAAGTATTTACATAGCTGGAGCTTCCTTGAAAATAAAAGGACTGGATTAGTTCAGCTGTAGGCTTTACTGGCTTGTCCAAAACATGTCAGCTTCACTTATCCCAAGGAAAAGGTTGACTCTCTAACATTAGGTGGCACTTCAGTGCTTGTCACATATTTTAATGTGTGTGTACATGAGTGTATGTGTGTTCGAGTGAACCTCATCTCCAGCTCAGGGTTTGACAGAAATGCCATTTGTGTTGTCAAACATAGGTGGTGTCCATTTGTTTCTCGAGCAGTAGGGTAAGAGGAGCCCCTATTTGTAACATTTCATGATAAGCACAATCACTGGTTGTATTAAAACTCAAATCACTTCAGAAATAAGTGATTTCTCTTATATGTGAGATTTTACAAATCCTAAAATATTATGTTTCAATAGAGACTACAGACTGTATGTACATAGATATAAAGTTTTTGCTCTTGTGCCAATGTTTTATATCTATTGTAAAGCTGTGCAGAATTGGCTGGTCATCTTATTTATTCATCTTACTTCCATAACAAAATCATTGCAGCACATATAGGGCAATACATCATTGTAGGTAGCAACAGTCAACACTGGCTGGCTTAACATGTGCTGTATAATATACACAGCAAAACACTACCCAGAGCAATGCCCAGAATATAGGTATAGTTCACAGAACATCTGTCACCAGCAATAGCAAGGACATCAGTGTCTGATTCAGGGACTCTACATGCCCTACCATCCTGTCCTTCTCTGTCTCAACAGCACTTCCTTCCAAGACTAAATTTTGTACATTGATGTCTTGGTTCGGGATTCTATAGCTGTGAAGAGACAACATGACTGCGCCGACTTTTATAAAGGAGAACATTTAATTGGGTGGCCTACAGATTTAGAGATTTAGTCCATCGTCCTGGCAGGACATGGTGGCATGCAGGCAGACATGGTGCTGGGGAGGTAACTAACTGAGAGTTCTAACAACTGAGAATTGTTCTTGCAGGCAACAGGAAGTGGTCTATCTCACTGGGCATGGTTTAAGCATATATGAGACCTCAAAGCTCACCCCCACACTGACACACTTCCTCCAACAATGCTACATCTACTCCAACAAAACCACCACCTCCCATTAGTACCATTCCTTTTGGGGGCCATTTTCCTTCAAACCACCACAGTGGATATTTTTTTTTGGAAACTGAGACACTCTGTGACCTTAAAGGGACATTGTCTGAAAAGAGGAGCTACTCCAAAAGGCAGCCAAGATCCGGGAAACACCATAGCACCAGGCACTCAGTGCTGTTGAGCACAAACTTGTTTTGGACAAGCCAGTAAAGCCTACAGCTGAACTAATCCAGTCCTATTTTCAATGAAGCTCCAGCTATGTAAATACTTTAATGAAAGTTTCGGTAGTCATGAAGCAGGAAGAAACTGAAGTACTTCTCCAATGGCTGTGTGCATAGTCAGTCAGTCTGGCAAACATCTACTGGGATTCCTCTGTGTCAGCCTCTATTCTAGGCACTAGATTCAGAAATAACAGAAACCACACCCTGCTGCAGCTGTCCTCCCTAGTAGGAGGAGAAAGACAATAGATAAATAAGTGGAATGCACATGGGTGGAAGGAAGTGCGGTAGGTAAGGGTACCATGTGCCAGATTTCCCATAGAACCCTGAGACTTTTGCTCATGGTCATTGGAGGAGCCTGGAGGTCTTACAATCTGACTTGAGCTTTGCACAGGGCTCTGACTGTCATGTCATGAACATACACATGGTGACTGCAGGGAGCCAGGTGAGAGATAGTGGTCTCTTATACCAGGACGGCAGCAGTAAGTATGGAGAAAAGGTGGGATTTGACAGGGAGAGGGAATTTCAAGGCTGATTCCAGTGTTTGCTATCAATAAAATAAGAAGGCATTAGACATTAACTCCCTGGTTCCCATTACAAACTTATTTTAGAAACCAATTTAAAGATGAATTAATTTAGGAGTTAAATCTTACCTCCCATAGGAAGTGTCAAAGATAACACTACTTCTCCAGCACTAGATGCTTGGTTAGGACACCCTGAGTCTGCAAGGATGCTCCCTCTGGTGGGTGTGTCATAGATTTTCATAGAAGAGGAATCCTGTTGTCTGTTGTCCTACAGTGCTGCTTTTCCCAGGCATTGATGTTGCAAGGGGTCATTACAGAGCCACAGCAATGAGTCCGAATGTTACCATCATCTTTGTTTCTCTGTCTCATCCACTTATATGGGGCAGGGTTGCCCCAGGGCTCCATGATGAACATTGACTTAAACTTATGCTGTGTCTTCTGCAGACATCGCAGAGAGGTAGATTTCATCTCTTTCCATTTGAAGTGGACAGAGCAGAATCCTGGGCTTGCCAAAGTCACGTTCCAGTGATGGTGACCAACTCAGTCACTAGCAACACAGAAGCAACAACTTACCCATCCCACACCTCCATGGTGCCTTCTAGTTCTTATGCATCTTTCATGTCTGCCCCCCACCCCCCTGCCCATGGCTTCTTTGGCCTCTCAAATGGAACAAGTTGCAAGGGCTCAGACTCTTGCTCCAGCTCACAGGCAGTCAAGATCCAGGAAACACCATAGCAACCAGATGTTCACTCACTGAGGCACCACAGTAACAGCTTGAGATGGGGCCTAGCATACACTTCACAGTCAGAGCGGTTCAGTAATCTCCCCAAGATCCTGAGCATCGGAGCAATACTTGGAACCCAGTCTCTGTGCCCATAACCACCGTGCCCTTAAATATCTGTTCTATTCGCATTTCTTCACTGACCTTTTCTCCCCGTTCCATGACAGTTTTTCTGCTTATCAACTGTAGAAGCTTAACCCTCATGTAGTACCAGTACCATAGATCAAACCATTTGTCTATATTTCTGTGTGCTCCGTGAAGTGGCCAACGGTGTCTGCATGTAGCCTTCCGATCACTCAGCCACCTTTGTCACTGTTTGGAGGGTTGTTTTGCAAAGACCGTAGCTTCTTTTCCTTGCAGAAGGATCATCCGTACACATCCGAGCATTGCTCATCCTCCACTGACTCCTTGTTGGTGGATATGGTGTTCCCACATGAAAACATGCCTTCGTGGTTTTACATGGTGTCTCCAACACAGTCCTTCTGCATCCCCGCCCATAATGATGATCAAATGATAATGATTAAAATCACTAAAATACTATTTTTAAAAGGGAATGACAGCATTGGTGGGAGAAAGTGAATTCTATGAGGTTAGACAATTGGAGGGAAATTTTTAAAAATAAAGAGAAAATTCAGAAATAACAGAAACCACACCCTGCTGCAGCTGTCCTCC